GTCTGTAGCCATGCCAGAATACTATACTGCTTTATTTAACAAAAGTGACAAATAACTACAACATAGCAGCAAAGTGTCGTTCTTCCCTGTCAGAATCATCTCATCAGGGACATTATCACTGTTTATTTATTTCAAGTATTTATATAGCGCACTTTACATAGTTGAACATTCAGATCAGTCCCTGCATTCAAGGAGCTTACAATCTAAGGTACCTATCTCACATACATACATACATACAAGGCAGATGTAGACAGGAGCCAGTTGTCCTACCAGCATGTCTTTGGAGTGTGGGAGTAACCGAAGCAACAAATTCCTGGAGGGATTGCTGAATACAAGTAGAAGGAAGAAGATGATCGGATCAAGAGGCATCATTTAATGTTAGTCCTTAAAGCGGGGGGGGGGATTGTGATTTTAATGTCACTTAAAACCTGATTCCAGCCAAAACAATATTTTATTTAGATTTAATCCTACATTCTTGTCTATGTGACAAGAAGTGTGGGAAATTGTTGTCACTGGGACAGGAAGACTCAGACAGTAATAACCTACCAGAGGTTCTAACCTTTCCCCACTTTGCTGAAAAAGTGATTTCTTGCATTGTGTCATCTACTGTCATTCTGTAGATGATAGTTGCCTGGCTGTCATGCTGATCCTCTAGGCTCAGACATTTTTGTTACTTTCCTGATCTCGACATCTGTTCTAGGTAAGGGAGTCAGAAAGTACTGAAGCAAGTGAGAATAATGGCCAAGTAACTACAATTTTCAGAAAGGAGTTCAGCAATGGCAAGCCCATTTTCCTCCTATGACAGGTTGACTTTAAGGGGCTGATTTATAATGGCTTTGCCTAGCGTATAGCTGGATGAACACTGTTCACATGGCATTACTGCCACTAGATGGAGCCGAGGAGCATAAGAAACTCCTATGGTCCTTGGTTCCATTTAGTGGCAGTAATCCCATGCGAATGACGTTTGCCCAGCTATATACTGGGTAAAGTCATTATAAATCAGCCCCTAAATGTTCACTTGAAAACCAAAAGATGTGTATTTAAGGTGGAATAGAAATGAAAGTTAAACTCCAATTAGATTTTAAAAAACACAAATTAATACAGTTGTATATATATTTAGAAATTAAATGTATTTTAAATGCAAGTAATATAAATACCAGAATTTGACATGATTCCAACCTCATGTAACCTCCTGTACAGCAGCACTTCGACTGCTTGAAGGAGGCACAGCACTAGAAGCCAGTAAGATGCCCTGCATACACATATGCTTATAGGAGAAGAGTGGAGAGATGACTTCATGAGTCTGTTGTTGCTCCTTCACTGTATACAGACCAGGGGTGGGGAGGAGACCTAGCAACGTTGCTTAACTGCAGTAGAGTAAAGTCAGGTCACCAGGCTGGCTATGCTGTCTGGCAGGGCTGGGTGAACAGAAACACAAATCCATTGGCAGGTAAAGCAGCTCATGTATATGTATTTCAATTGTGTATTTAGCTGTTTGCCTGATGTTCAACAATCTATTTCCTACCTCCACTGTCCTCTCCATGAGAATTGAATGTAACTATACAGATGCAGACAGTAATGTCTTCTCACTATCCCAGACTCCTCATGGCTGGACAGTGTGTACATGATGTGGTGACCCCACTCCTTGTGTATGTGTGTGGATGGCTGAAGAGAGTAATGACCAATCCTTACTGAGCTTGACCCCTGGGATAACCATTTTTCTCTAACCTGGAACACGGGTATTGTTGCAGCCTTAAGAGACGAGCTCCACAGATACCACATGATGTTCACAATGCCCAGCCATGGACAGGCCAGTGGGAACATACAGGTGAAACTCAAATAATTAGAATATCGTGCAAAGTTCATTTATTTCACTAATGCAACTTAAAAGGTGAAACTAATATATGAGATAGACTCATTACATGCAAAGCAAGATAGTTCAAGCCGTGATTTGTCATAATTGTGATGATTATGGCTTACAGCTCATGAAAACCCCAAGAACCCCAAATCCACAACCTCAAAAAATTAGATTATTACATGCAATCAATAAAACAAGGATTGTACATAGAACAATATCGGACCTCTGAAAAGTACAAGCATGCATATGTACTCAGTACTTGGTTTGGGCCCCTTTTGCAGCACTTACTGCAATTACTTTTGCACAATATTCTAATTATTCGAGTTTCACCTGTGTAACTGTCTGCATCTGAGCTCTGTACATTCCTATAAAATGTATTTAGTGGATTAGATAACTACAATTGAGTTTTCTTTTTTCTATTATGCAGCTCCACTTAAACTTTCCCAGTGACAAAGCCTGAATACTAAGGCCCCATTCACACTGAGCGATTTTTATCGCGCGGATCGCGGATATTTACAGCGCGATATCGCTCTCAGATGCATCTCAATGGGACTCTGTCCGTCGCTGTTGCGGGTCGTGCGTCGCTACAGTAGGACCCTTTTTGGAGCGGATTTTGCTCAATGCAACCATTTGCGCGATATCGCGCAAAATGCAAATCGCTCAGTGTGAATGGGGCCTTAGGGTCAATTTACACTTTGCTGTTCTGGTCAACGTGCATTGTGTCAAATGTTAACACATGATACATTAAGGAAGCCCATTCGATGTTCTGCCAATGCACCGGAACAAACAAAAAAGAGACACAACACAGAGTAGTGACCATGTGCTGCAATACATGCGTCAGAGCTGTGTTGCCTTAGTGTGTTGGGGTGCCTTTTAAATGAGTGCCTACACACTAACACGTATAATGTTTGGGACACGCTACCGCAACCTGCCAAAAGTGTAAATGGGCCCTTAGCATTTGACGTTTGCGTTTGGTAGTATCTATTCCTTTGGAAATACCTAGAATCTGAGCCTGAGAAGTATCAGGACAGTTCTCTGACAAACACGGCTACAAAAGATTATGTAAAACTCAGATTATAAGGGAAACTGAATAGGCTGTGTGACTTTAGAGAGCTGCAATAAGTCCTTCATAGCACTGGATGATTGGACATGCCTTGAGTTGATCTAAAAAGCTGAACTTCAGTTGTGTAGGAAAAAAACACAGACCTCCTTGGGGATATGCCTCCTGAGGGTAGGTCATCATGTTCACCTGGGCTCCGAGTACTACTGCCCTTTTTTTTGTTGTAGGCGGGATGTAAATACTGGAGATCTGCTTTCATTAAGCAATACATACATTATTTATTATAAAGCTGGTATAAAAAAGGTCATCAACAAAAGGACATTCTTTTAAACTATTTATCAGTGGTCGATTTATCTTGTTGCTCCAGTGTGGGTTTTTTTTCTTAAATTCTTCCTGTATCATCTGTATTCCTTCTCATTCCTTGTATTTTATGGCTGCTCAATTTTACCAATGAATGTTTGCTTTAAAGAAAATTGGATAAGGTCTTGTCATATCAGTGCTTTCTGTGATGTTTTATGATGAAGTTATGCAGGGGCGGACTGAACATTCGGGCACTCGAGTCTTGGGGGCCCCACTGAGATCCAGTCCCGGGCCCCCCACTGGAGGAATGGTGTCGCATCTGCCCCTGCTTAGACCCTTCGCGTCTGCCCCCCGGTGAGACCCTCCACATCTGCCCTAGGTGAGACCCTCCGCTTCTGCCCATGCCGAGACCCTCCGCTTCTGCCCCTGCCGAGACCCTCCACTTCTGCCCCTGCCGAGCCCCTCCGCTTCTGCCCTTGCCGAGACCCTCCACCCATGCACTAACCAAAGGGAAAATTTCTTAGCAAAGTGAACAGCCTGTGCTTGTCTTTAGTAAATCAACCCTATTTTCTCACTTATGCGTCCCTCAAGCAGGAAGTAAGTAAAATCTTTCCAAGGGGGATGCAATAAACCCCAAACTGAGATTTTAATACATCTCCAGTAGTTGGATTTCATTACATTCAATGCCTATTCTCCTAATGTCTGATTTTGGAGTTTTATGAGTTTCATGGACGGAAACAGTTGATTATCACCACCCACCACACAGATACCGTTTATATTAACACAGGACATGTGTATACATTTTTGTTCTATCTAGGCCCATTTTTGTTTTTATAGGGAGGGGTTTTGTTCATGTTGGGGAGGGGGACATATGTGTGCACATTTGGTAAATGATGGTTATATATTTTCTTGAAATAAATTGAATTTTTATACTTTATGCCAGTTTTGTTTGAAGAATATTCATTTAATCATATGGTTTCTCAGCCGAGTGGGAACCTGTTGTTTCTTCCATATTCCTTATATATTACATTTTGATCTTGAAGCAAGTATTCCCACTCTCCTCCTTTCCTTGCTGTCCTGAACTATAAAGGTACATACACTTCAGGAAAGAGGGTGTTAAATCTCGCATATGGTTAAAAAGGTCATATTGGAATCTAAAACAAAGAAAGAGCTGTTCATCTCTCCACGTGTCCACTAACAAAATACACATGCTCCAAAACACACATGCTCTACAATCCTCTGCTGAGGTCTTTCACTTAGCTGTTCCTTGCTCTACTATGCAAGTGTGTTATTTTTTTAGATCTGACTTTACTTTTATCTGTGCTTCCTTCCGATTCTTTTTCCAACATCCTAATTCCCTTCCCACATTAGGATCTTTGTTTGTTTGATCGTCCATATTTTCTGCACACTTTTCTCCCAGTATGTGATGTGATCTGCGGTGCTCTGGGAGTGAGCAGTGAATATTAGACACCAGTGTAACTAAAGCTGCCTCTATATACTCAGGATGGGCTGGAGTGTGATCAATGGGCTCTTTGGCATGGTTGTTTATATTTTTCTACTTTTTCTTAGTATAGAAGTGTGGAACCATCCAAAGTCTCTAGTTCCATCAAAGGTCAGTAAACTGCTTTCACGGTGTCACGGCAAAGTAAATTGACTTTCAAATTTTGGTTGTTGCATGTTTTACTGTTCTATATCTTGAGGATCTGCTGCTAATAATGGTAAAACGAATGTGCCTGTAAATACGCATTGTTTTACCTTTGTGGGATTCTGTTTTAACTACAGGTTGATGGTGCAATGTGTGGTGTCACTTTTCCCTCAAGGAGAACCAGATGGAAGAGATACACCATCAATCCGCTGGGGTACAAATGGGATCACTTAAATCTGACATACAGGTAAGTTCATAGGCTACAGAGTGTTTGTATTTCAAAATGACTTCATCCCCATTTGCTGTAAGCAGAATCCTAAATTACAGAATTAAACTAGCAAACTAGCACAGCTAGGCATAGGAGGGATTGTGGACTAATGAAATCTCTGAGAGGCGAAACAAGGAATATATATGTGTTGTCATAAGATCCTGTATAATAATAATAATAATATTATTATTATTATAATTACTATTATTATTATTATGTGCAAACTGCACTAGCCAATAATAGCCAATTAAAATCAACCTGTATCTGAGGGCAGGAAAACGTAAGTTGTTTAAAGGCTAAGTTTACATTTAGGACAGTGTTACGTTACACCCATATTCAGGGTGTAACATGAAACATGGTCGCATCGCCACCCCCCTACTTACCTCTACCTGCAGCTGCTGCTGGTTTTTTTTTAATTTGGTGTTCTGCTCACACAGCCCTGGCATCCATTCGCAGATTCTTTGACAGTATCTGTTAATGGAGAAACAATAGGACCCACGCCCCTGGCATAGGGAATTGTAGTTCTCAATGGAATACAAGTGCAGTGATGTCTCCACACTTGCAGTCCATTAATTCTTCCTCCCGTCCATGTTACAGAATGCCCATAGCTCAGTACGGACATGGATGGGAGGAAGAATCTGCAGGAACCAGAGCACTGCACCCACGATCCATTGATTATGGCTGCAATGCTTTATTGGCTCTAATGCAAAAACAAAAGGGAATTGTTTTTTTCTTTTTTTGAAGAGGTGTGCATTTATTTTTTTTTCCAAAAAGTGGACCTTACATTTAAAGCTCATCCCAATAGTTAGAGCCAAATGGGGGACAGATGGGGGAAGGGGTGGACACAGCTTGCTCTGGCTCTAGAGAGGCAGATCCAGCTGTCAATCAAACAGTGGGGTGGATCCCGACAATATTGTCAGAATCTTTCCCGGCTGCAGCGCGGCTCTGTGCTCTCAGCATATAGGTGGCGATGGCCCACTATATGCTGAGTTTTGGGTCACAAGAGGATATTAGTAAATGTCATCTTTATTTATACAGGATTGTCCAGTTTCCTAACACGCTAAACAGAGGTGACACGGAAAAGGCCCTGGAGATCGCCTTCCGCATGTGGAGCAAGGTGTCCCCTCTCACCTTTCAGAATGTTCCTTCTTATCAAGAGTCTGACCTTAGCATTGGTAAGTAGATGGATTTATATGTCGGCAGCACAGTGGCGTAGGGGTTAGCCTTGTAGCACTGGTGGTCCCTGGTTCTAAACCCGGCCAGGACACTGCAAGGAGTCCCTGTGCTTGAGTGGGTTTCCTCCTGGTACTCTGGTTTCCTCCAACACTCCAAGGAAATGCTGGAAGGTAAATTGGCTCCTGTCTAAATTGTCCCTCATACCTATGTATGTGAGATAGGGACCTTGGATTGTAAGCTAGTTGGGGCCAGGGCCTGATGTGACTGTACAAATGTAAAAGCGCTGCGTAAATTGTTGGCGCTATATAAATAAATATACAGAGGCAGAGCTTTGACCGAAAATACGTTGACAATGTCCAACATTCAGTTTCCCACCAGGGCACAAACCATTCTATTCAATCCTATCCTATACTTTTGGAAAAAGAAGAAACGAGAATTAAAATGGAGTTTTAATTTAGTTCCCCCTTTAGTTTCAGCCTGATATAGAGAAAGTACAGGCTCAGCCTCCCCCCCTACATATCCCTGCAAAGATGACAAGGTGGAGCAGGGAGAGAGGGAGCAGTGGTGTACTATGCAGTGGTACAGTTGCTGGGTGGTGGTGGGGTGCTGGCTGGCAGAAAGGTGCAGTGTCAGCGATGCTGGGAGGCAGAAAAATTCAGAGTCAGGGGTGCGGCAGTAGAGGTGCCGGGTGACAGGGAGATGCAATGTCGAGGTGCACAGTACCAGGGTACTGGATTCTTTAATGCCCAAATGCAAAAGCTGTCTACTTGTAAGCCTGCAGGGAGACTTCTCTAACTTGATGGTAGTGATGGTGTAGGCTCCTGGACCACATCACCGGCTAATCTAAGGTAAGCGCAAGGAGGTTTAGTTAGCATGGGGAGGGGGCATTAGAATGAAAGCTGAACTCCAGGTCCAGCTTGGCCCAATATAAGTATGCATATGATATACCTGGTCGACCCATGGGGATACTATAAACTACTGTAGTTTGGGTACTGTAGTACCCAAAGTAATCTTCCAGGTCCTTTATGGCTATGAGTTCAGTGGCTTCCCCTCTTCTCTGAAAACACAAGGGGTCACTCGCTCTGCACAGCAGCCATTCAGCAAACATCTAGTTTATTGTCAATAAATACAGTGTTCTCTGACTGGATGAGAGGGCAGATTGTGACATCACCGCCACTTATCTGATTGAGCGACCCCCTGTGTTTTCATAGCAGAGGCAAAGGCGTTCAGCACAACTCTGTACCAGGATCCGGAAGATTGATGTCAGCACTGTAGTAGCTCTGGCTACTACAGTGTGTTACAGGATCCCTGTGGGCCAACAGGTATATCATATGTATACTTACATTGGGCCAATTTACAAATGCGGCTCACACAAGCACTATAACCTTCGGCCTGGCAGCTCACACCATCAACTTTCTGCTGCTGGCTAGAATGACTGCCGCAAGCATCTGGAGCTAGAGCTTCTCCACAGAGGCCCCACTCACCACCACTTATGCAAC